GTAATTACATAATTTTAAATGGGAATTTAATTATCAATAACCAATTATTGGGAAACACTTTTGATTACATATATTTAATACTGTTTAATCTTAGCGATTGTATTCATTAATCAATAATCATAATACAAATGGCTACATATATATAAAGGGGAATTAATTATATTATCAATAAAAATATTTTGCATCCAAGTTATCGTATTTTGATTTGGACTAGAAGATATTAGGTGGTAGGGAATGATATTTACTTTGGAGAGTGAAAGTGTCCAATTGACGTCAATGTATGTTTAACTTTAAACCATCAAAAAAATCTGAAAATTAAAAAAAATAATTTTTTTTATTAATCTTATTATTATTATTATTAATATAATAGCACGCTGGTCTAGGACCTGCCAAAATTGAGCCGCGTAAATTATACAAAGGACCATCTCTGCATAATTATGCCCGTATATTTTTCTAAGAGTGCCAAAAAACCTTGTTACACAGGTAAATTTAATAGGGATGGAACTCGTAACTGCCTCTTTGATTTAATTTTAAAAGGGAGAATATAACTACAAGAAGGAAGGAGCGGAATTGGTCCCCTTAATTACATCCTATTATATAGAATGTTAAGCTTAGCTTTAGTTTATTAGATTGGTTAATCAAAAAATTTAGTAGATATTAAGGTAAAGGATAGTATACATTTACTCTAACTATATCAGTTAATCTAAACAAAGTCCAATACAAGAACTACAAAATTTAGGCTCAAAATAAAATTAGTAACTAGAGTTAGTTTACACTCGGACTTATTTGCCCAAATCATTAAAATTTAAAAGGAATCCAAAGTATATATGAAGTTAACTTCCTTAGTAGTGATAATAAGTAATCCTAGTTAAAAGAGATTCTGATAAACTAGTATTAAGAGTTAGAATTGTCATTTTACCATCCAGACATGAGTTAGTATACCTAAGTTCGTTTTTTGTTGGCAGTCGTTGGTAAGTTAGTCATATATTGTGGCTAGCATTTTTTTAATTCACACCTGTCTTCAGCATAGAGGATTTATCTAAGGATTTAGCGATCAATCCAAATCAGCTGTTTTTATAAAAAATAAAATGCTTCCAGTAAGATTCGACCGGAAGTACTCTGTCATGAGCTTGTTATATTAGATTGTTTGGTGAATGCTTTATTGCATAAGTTTTGCCATAAGGTGTATAGGGGTATTGTTACATTTCTTAGACTAAGTTAGAAAAGTATTGTGTATATATATATAAAAGGTTTTGGTAATGTAACGGAGGCACTTTTTGATAAACGATTGTGCTTTATTATTATGGTTCTTAGCTGGGTTCCAAGTTTCAATATCATATTAAAGAGCAGAGAGTACAAAAGTGAAATGTCTTATCTTCAATGGGATAGATAGTTGGCAGGTGAATTAAATCTTAATAAATGAGTAATACTTAAATCTGGTCATGGCCAGTTTAATATTAATATCTTCATCCGCCCTTCCTTTCGTAACAAGAGTCACCCCTAGATATTTTAGGCTCATGACTTTCTTAATTTCTACATTATCAAATAATAGGTTCCAATATGGTAAAGTATAAAATGCACTCCTCAGTTTTGTTTTAAGTGTATTGGGAATCAGATGTATTGGGCATCAGATGTGCGTCAGCAAAAGCGAGAACTTCAAATTATCAACTCCGATCTGAACAATATCATTTTTATAATATTATTTATAATGAAGTTGAACAACCGCGATAGAATACATCATTATTTCAGCCTATTTAGAGGGATGTTAGTGAATTTTAGTCCCGCATGTATAATTTGGATAGAGTAGTTCTGGAATATATTTATAAAGAGGTATAGAAATTTTTTTTTCTCCTGAATATCGCCAGATATCCTTAAATTAGACTATCATATTCAATAGTGTTGTTAACGTTTTGAGCCGGCGAATTCAATATTTTAGCCAGAAGAATCCCAATATTTTAGCCAAAAAATATTGCCTAAGCCTCTGGATTTCGCTAATAGATGTCTAAACCTTTGTGCCATCTATGAGTAAAATCTTCAGGCCTGCGTAATATTATTCTAGTTAAAATATTGAGTTAGCCGTTTTTAAAAATCGGCTCAAATCGAGTCGTTTAATAAACTACTATTCAATTTATCAAAATGGTAAATATATTGAATTAGATATTTATTATTCTTGTTAAGAGCTCATTAAAATAATTTGTTGAAATATAAATTGCATATGTGGTTATCGTATGTTTTTTTTTATGTATTAAAATAATTTGACTGAAATATAATTTTCATAAGTTATTATGAGATTATATGGGATGTTTTATTGTTACAGAATTTAAAATTATAGACCATGCAAAATTTTTAGTTTTTTAAAGGATAAGATGATCGATAAGAGTTATAAGATTGGTTTAAAAAATTACAAGAATTGAAAAGGTTGCGAAAATAAAAAATTTGATGTTTGAAAATTTGATAAAGAATTGTTAATAAAAATTTTGGTATTATAGAAATATGAAAACAGAGATGGTAAAAAGACAATATATTTTTCGGTTGAAAAATGAAAACAGTTATTGTAAAAAGACAATAAATTTTGGGGTATTTTTTAAAAGGAAAGATTAGATTGCAAAAACGCCAGTAAATTTGATTTATTTTTTGGGTGAAACGAAAGATTCGATTCTAAAAAACAAACTTTTTATTGAAAAACAAAAAAAGAGATTGTAAAAGGTCAATAAAGGGTTGTTATTAAAAACAAAAATTAGATTGTAAGACAATGAATTGAGGTTTTTCTTGAAAAACAAAATATTAGTTTGTATAAAAGACAATAAATTTGGCTTTTTATTGAAAAATGAAGATTTGATTGTAGAAAAGACGATAAATATGGGGTTTTATTGAAAAACGAAAGAGTATTTTGTAAAAAGACAATAAATTTGGGTTTTTATTAAAACAAGTAAAAAAGACAATAAATTTGGTTTTTATTAAAAAAAACGAAAAAATGAATTGTAAAAATGACAATAAATTTGGTTTGCTTTTGGAAAAATTTAAGCGTGTAAAAATTCATAAAGTATGATAAAATAAATGCACAATGACACAAAAAGGGAAAAAGATATTTTGGTTAAATTTTAGAATTAAGTGATTTTTAGGTGTAAAGTAATCATGAGAATTTTTGATAAAATATTTCAGAATTATGAAAGAAGTAAGGCGATTTAATAGTATATTTTAGGTAGAGTTAGGATAAATGAACAATAATATCTCGGCAAAAGCAAACTGTCTTAGAAGACACGGAGGTCGGCGATCAGTAGTTATCATTACAAGAATTCGTGAATGGTTTGCAATCAATCATTAATCTTTTACAGAGATAAAAGAGCAAATCAATTGCAAGTGAAAATTAGAAACGAGCAACAATTAGGATAAATGGTCAAAATTTTCATGCTGATACTAGAAGAAACAAAAGTTGAAAAAGAGAGACTAGAATTTATAGATAACTATTACTAGCAATGATGAATCGTTTAAAAGCAATCGTTAATCGTTTACCAATTATCGTCAATCGTTTACAGAGATAAAGCTAATTACGAGAGAACGTTAGAAACAAGCAACAAGCTTGACATTTATTTTTAATTCTTTTATACGTTGACTTACTTTTATTATTTTATAAATTTATTCTTTAAAAACGTTCAATGTGTAATAAAAATAATGATTCAAATCCCTCGTCGTAACATCTTTACCAATTTTTTTAACAAGAAGATTTATTTATATTTCCAAAAATGGTACCCAAATTTGGACAAATTCTATTCGGACGGTTTTTCAAAGAGTATTTCTCTCATTTTCGAGCGATTTCTATCACAATTTCTTGCATATTCATAATGATCTTTAATTTGCAAACTTGATATTCTGACATATAAAAAAGGTAAATCTAGACCATCGAAAGTTATTCCATTCTTCAAGGAATTCTTTGAATATTTATAAAATTATGCAACATGCCAAAATCTTCTATTAAAATTTTTTTTAAGGTTTTGTAAATTTTATAATTTATAATTCCTACCAAATTATTTGTATTTTTCCCATTTAATTTAAAATACTTCCCATTTTGATTAATATTACAGCCTATTTCTTATTATAATTTAAAGAAATATAATTGGGCTCAATCTATCCTAGGTTCTATAATTATATTAATTCTTGAATCTAGAATAGGATTTTTTTATTCGTCAAATTTTTTTTTATGAATCTTATAAGATCTCGATTTGAGACCGAACCCAAAGAACTTGCATCAATTTTGAACCAGTCCTTTGCCCTTTTTAAGCTTGTAATATGACAAATTTATGACATTTTTCTTCATAAAACTTATTACTAGCAAGGCCTGACAATTTGTGAAAAATATTTTATAGGCTAGGTCGGGCAAAAAATATTACGTGTCTTGCCAAAAAATCTTTCTTAACAAAAATCTTATCTGATGTTCAATTTTATATTATTATAAAATGGAAAATAATAAATACGAATTCACTCACCTCCCCCCTAAATAGCCCCCGGAAAAAACTCCTAATAAAGCGGCAAGGAAAAAAAATTCCCATCAAAGAAATTACAAATTGTTATGAATTTTTTTTTTTGATAATTACATTTTTTATTAGAGATTTTAAAAATTGATGATTATATGATAAATAAATCAAAGATATATTTAGAAAAAGTAATATATTTACATTAATATGGTTTAAAAAAATTTTCTAGGCATCGATCCACAAATAGAAATGTTTGTTTGATCTTCAAAATACAACGAGTTATAGTTAACCCCCCCCCCCCCCCAAATTAAATAACAGTTTATTTACACATAGGCCCTATTAAATTTACACGATATTAAAGAGTATATATTCAATAAATTAACTTATAAAAACCCCCTAATATAAATTATTTGTGACATGGAACCCAGCAATTTGCATACGATATTGTTTAAAAAATAAAGACGAGTGAAAAAGAATAATAATCATCGGGGAGTCATTTTTTTTATTTATAATTTTTCTTGTCCAGTTTTCTTTATCTATTTCTCATAATCAATTATTAAAATTACTCAAAAATAAAGTAAAGACTCAAATATAAGCAGGATTTGCATTTACGAGAATCACAAGGTTTTCATCGATTATCATTCGTCCGCGTTACGATAAACCCCCCATAATAATATTAGGCTTTAATTAATTTTCCCTTAGAAATGTAGGTGGTAATATTATTTTGTATCTTGCCGTTTCTGAGTAACTCTTTTGGCTTTGAATCTTTGTTCGGGTGAAAAATCATAGTGGAAGCATTCGTGTCACTTCCATGTTTTATCAACACGCCCTTATTAATCACAAATGTGCCCTTAGCCCTGCCAGATATCAAAGAAGCTTTACGCGACAAGCGATTGTAGCCTTTGTATTCGCAGGTGGATTGTGACAAAGGCCCATATTTGTCCTTGATTTCGTGCCTAAATTTCCTAAATAAGAAATTGTTTTTGCGCGTTATTTTCATTTTAGCCTTGATTTCTTCTTTGGTTATGACCGATATTCCTTGATGGGATACGAAACCTCCGTCCAGAACATAAAATAGATAGTCAGCTCGGCATAATTCGTAACACTAATTTTATGTATAAAAAAAAGAAAATCTGTAAATATACTTCCAGGAGTAAAATGGTTCTTCTAAGCCATTCTTACCTTATATATGTACATAAATATTTCAAGTAAAACTTTGCTAGAATTTTATATAAAAAAAATTATTTGATATTTATAACTAAGTATTTTAATGATAGAGATATGATCAATTCAATCTTATTAAGGAGGGGAGGGGGGGGGGTGCTCAATAAAAATTTATCCAAAAATACAAAATATTGAAAGATTATTTTTAAAACTGTGCAGAGGCAGCATTTTATTATTTATAGATATAATAAAAATTAATTTCTGAATATGAATTCAACAAACAAGAATTTAATTTCCAGCGAATACCCTTGTCCTAACCTTAATAAAGTTTAATTGATTACCATCAAACCTAGATAAATATTAATTATTTTTCAATCTTTTTTTTTACTCTTTATAACTCAATCAGAGTTGTTAAAAAGCGGCTATATTTCAAAAGTCGAGAGTCGGAAATGGAGCTATCTCTTTTTCTGGGATGGAGTAGAGGAATGCCACTCCTCTGTTAATTTTATGAAATTATTTATATATTAAATGTTGATCCGAGTGGTTATTTATATTTTTTTATTCCCTTTTTTAAAATCACAAACACTTGGAAGACGATATAGTGTTGTTATCAGATGCAGAAGATACTGAATCGAATCAATTCCATCCTACAGTAAATTTATTTCTCTTCTACAAGAGGTGGATCTTAATGTAACAATTTTCATGAGTGTAACAGCTCAATTGGATCAACTCAAAATCATTGCAACGAATCTTAGACTTAAAACGTGTTGAAGGTAAGCACACTTTGATGTCTGGTCCCTCTTGTGCGCTTGTTCAATATTGCAACAAGTATGTTGAGAGGCGTAATTGTTTATTAGATTCAAATTTAGAAAATTTGCTAACTTTTAAAAATAACTAAAAAATTAATTTGAAAAAGGTTATAAATTTTTTTGATTATGATTTTGTTTTGTGTAACTTTATATTATTTTTTTTAAATAAAGAAAAATAAAAGGAGCGGTTAATTAGTTAGGGGAGCTAGCTCCTTCCGGATCCATACCTCCTTTTCCAATGATAGAAGCGGGAGAGCTCCCTTATATAAAGAGCGTTAACAACTATAAACCCAATTATGTTCCTTTTTTTAAAATTAATCATAAATATCATATCAAATAAATTCAGAATTTAAAATGAAAAAAAAATCATAAAATTTGAAGATTTTTATTTAAGTAAATCAAAAAAAATTAATATTTTAATTTATGAATTCATCATAAATGATTTCTTTTTTTTATATCAAAATCACAAAAGATATACTTATAAAAGTTTGGAATTTTAATAGTAAAATTTGATCAAAAGAAAGCATTAAAAAAATCTTCATTTTCTATTTTTAAGAAAGCGTTCATTTCAAACTCTGAATAAATCACACAATTAAAAATTTGAACAAAATTTTCTTGAAAGATTGAGGTATTTTGACTAATACGCTAAAATAAATAAATGAAAAGAATAGCAATAGACAATGGAGGATTATGGTGTTAGATTGGGATTAAATTCTAAATTACCATCTGTATTTTGTTTCGACCGTATCCCTTGAAACGTTCATCGTAAAGCGGGTCCTGATTAGAGCTGATAAAAATGGGCTCCCAGTAAGGTGGTATCCATTTTGTAATTGAAAGAACTTCCAAAAAGCTACCATTGCCAGTATTTCGTAAGAACTTATTGAAGTTAGGAATTATGTGGCATGCGGCACAGCGTTTGCGATGAAAAGGGATGGCTATCCCGGTTTTCAATAATCTCAAAAGCTCCGTTTTATTTTGTGGCCTTTCATAATTCATTTTTACTTCGAAGGCAGGGATTACGAACACTTTAGGAAGTTTGGAAATATAGTTTTTAGACATTTTAGAATTTTTTTGGCCTGATAACTTCGGGAAAACGGATTGAATTCTATTTTTCTTAGTTTTATCCATTTTGTAATCGTGAACGCTATTTCTAATAAAATCCAAAAATAGCGACATCAAATTATTACTCGGCAAAAATTCGATGTCTAAAGTAAAAATGTAATGAGTTTTCGAAGCTAAACGGGCTATATTGCGCGCCATGTTAATTGGGTACAATTTAAAATCCGATAGATTTAATTCGTCGTTTGTTTCAACTTTTATATGATCATCCTTCATCTCTGATTTCATAAAGTTTTGCCGAAAATTCCAAATATTTGTCAATTTTTTACCATATTTATAGGTATCTTTGTCAAATTGTTTTATATGATCCATTATGTCCGGGCACAATATTTTTTCTTCTAAACCATATATATTATTCAAATATTTGTTCCTCAGTAGTTGTAACTGCTGCAAATCGTAAAAAGGTTCGTGATTGGCGTGATAAAATATGTGAAACGAGACGTAATCGTAGACTGGTTTGTGACACACTCTCAATGAAATTATTGTGTTGACGCAAATAAAAAAATCTTCGTCACAAGGACAATAAATTGCGACAGAAATGGGGCCCTGCCAACTAGAAGACATGGGGACTAGATGAGATAAATACATGGGAGTACTATGGGTAGCTATAGTTACGGCGTTAAATAATTTCTCTTCTTTATAATCATTGCGAGGAAAAGAGTTTTTGATGGCTGGAAATAAGTCCATCATTATTCGGTACTTACCTCGTTGGGCGAAGGTTATCATTGGATCGGAAAAAGCAGAATTAATGATAAATGTATAGTTGTTAATCAATTCTGATTGGTTGGGTGAAGATAATGAATCTCTAATGGAAATGTTCTTCCTTTCGCTTACATTTTGTATAAAATTGGTAATACTATTCGTGGAGTCATTTAGGTTATCGGACGGGTGATAATATTTTGAGGATGGCACGAATAATTCGTCCGTAAAATATGTATCTTCGAGTGATGAGACAGTGCTAGAAAAATTTGAATAATCATTTTCCTCGTATCTATTATAGTAGAGCGGATCAATCCTATTGGAAGACGTAGACTTTTCCTGTCCTATTAATGGATTATCGCCAATGGCGGAATTAGCATTTGATTTCAACTGATTGCTGTTGTTCCCACCAGACGATTTAAATCCAATAGAAGAATTGCTTTTGCTGGGATTATAGCAACGCTCATATTTTGCAAAAATGGTCCAACCTAAACCTAATTTATCTTTTCCGTAACTGCACTTTAGGGTTGAAAGTAAATTTAGTGGTATGAATCTAGATGTGTAAATCCAGCTTGTATTTTGACATTTATATAGATAAGGTCTCCATTTAAGATTAGAGGATATCAGATTGCACCAAAATAATACGGTAGCCGAAAGAATTAGCAAAAATTTTAAGATTACGGACGATTTCAAAATTATCATACCATTAACATATAAGAAAAAATTCCTTAGATGACGCTTAAAAGTTCTGATAATGTTTTAACGATTATTTAATTTTGCTTATATTATTGATGTACATTCTTAAATTTCACATTTTTTTGAAATGATTCACTTATAAATAGTATAAAATTTTTAAGTTTATAGAGTACCATAAATAAAATGGAAACGAAAGAAAATTTATGCCAAAAAATTTTAAATTTTAATTATAACTATTAAAAAAAAATTAATATATTTTTGTATTAAATGGGTTTTTTTTCTTCATAAGCTAAATATTCCTTTTGTCAATTATTTATAAAATATAGTATTTATTTTTTTTTTTAAAAAAAATACATTATTACTAACATTAAGTTTAAGTGTATAAAAAAGAGATTATAAGGTGAATATTTTTAATATTTTATCATTTGTCTTCCCCTATCGTATATTTATAATATATTATCATTATATAATATTTTACACTTACATGAGAATAAAATATTAACCTTATAATTTTATCGAATTTGTTAAAAAAAATAAATAAAAGTATAAGTTATCTAAGTTCATTCAATTAAAGAACAATAATCAATACACAACGAGGAAGACTTTCCAAAATTTAAATGTAACATCATTAAAATTCAATTTTTTTCATATGTTTAATGAATCATTTTTTTTATATAATATTAATAATGCAATCTTATATTTCAATTGATCAATTTGTTTTGTATCACTAAAAAAAAATAATAAGAGAAAGAGAAATTCATCTCTGATAGCCATTTGGCTCGGATGATAATGCTCATTTTTTCTTTAATAATCTGAGGCATTGTATAGAATAAATTAAATAAGATGTTATTTATTATGAGGGTGTTGCTGTTGATGTAAGAATTCTTAAGAATATGTGATTTTTGACATTTCAATTAAAAATTGTAAATGAAAATCTTTTAGAGTTTCAAAAAATATATCGTTTATATGAAATTATGAAAGGTATATTATTAATTACCCCCAATTCCTAGCTCTTAAAGGTTAAGTTTATTAGAGAACCAAAACAATTCTATAAAAAATTCTCCTACATTTTTCCTCTTCTTTCATTGGTGAAAACAGCAATGCAGAGCCGTTCTAAGACTTTTCGCGATGGCAGATGAATTTGGCAAAATTAACGACCAAGGTTCCATTCGCGAATGAGCCGGTTAGAATATGAATGGAGTATTATTTTATAGTTTAAATAAATGACCGAATTAGATAATATTATGTTTATTTTATACATTTTAATTTTTAATAAATTAGTCTAATGTTTGCGACCCAGAGACCCTGCCTAGCTTGCAAGGGCCTGTTTGATGGCTATGGTCATCATTATTTCCTTCGAACGCTATTAATTAAATTTAATTGTCATATCTCATAAAAAAAGAGTATCATAACATTTTTTTTTTACTATATTAAAAACAATTTGTTTTGAATATTCCATTCATGCATCGGCCCGCTATCTTTAAGAATAGTTTTTTTTTTCTTTACCTGATTCAGCAGATGGCACGACATTGAACAATGTTGCAGTGTGGATAAAATAAATTTGCTACCAGTGAATGATGATGAGCATATTTAATAAATAAATATTTAATGTACCCCCTTTTTTACCCCTAAATATTTTGAGAATAAATTCTGGCGCATTCATCTATAAAATATTTTATATATTTTTTTTATTACATATTAGTATTATTGTCCTTATTTTTTGATCTTTTCGTCGGTAAAGTAAAAAAAAAAATGGCGAAATAAACCGACCTCGAGGTATAAAAAATAAATAATTTTTTTTTACAGTATATTAGACAAATTCGTAATTATTACTTTATAATAATTATAGCAATTTATTTTATAACTTAATTTAAGATATATATTTTTTTTTTCTATACTATAATCATAAACTTTACTTCGGCTTGTAAAAAAAAATGTGTTATTAGTTATTACCATCATTATATTTCTTAAATGTTTTTGCGTTTCTTGACAAATATTTATAAAATACTTTTGTCATTTTTTTTTAAAAATAAATAGCTATTACAATTTTATTTTATAAATTTTTTTAAAAAGTTCATCTTTTATAGGTATGGTAAAAATACTATACAAAGAAAGGGATAAGATGAAAAAGGATAAATTTTAAAGCGATGTCTGATTTATTCATCTTTGTGCTTAAAATTATGTGACATTATTTAATAGATGAGTTAAATTATTTTATTTATTTTTTTTGTATTTGAAAATAGATATTTTTTTTAAAAAGTTTTTGAAATTTTAAAAATAAGGTTGTAAATTATAAAAATTTAAGAGCCATGTTAAAAAAAAAGGAGATTGGGAAAAGAAGTGAAAAAGCAACAGTAAGCTGAATAAAGGAGGGAGAAAGGAAGGCAGAAATAAAAAGATAGGAAGGAACGGAATGATGTATGGAAGATTAAAAATAAAGAAAAATACTGCCCATTCTTAACATTATCCATTATGTTAATTTTATGCTATATTTCATAATACATATATTAATTCATATGTATTTTTTGGAGTTCGCGATAGAAATAATGTGATAAAGATTCAAATAAGGTCTCAAATTAAGTTACCATATCCAAAGATGGGAAAATATAACACGAGAGAAAAAGGTAGGATTTGTAGGGACCCCCAATTAAATATGTTATATATCTCCGAATCAAATTAATTTAAAGCTTTTATTTTAGTTATTGTTATTCAATAGCTTAATCATATTTAGTGAAACCCTTCAAAAACTTAATAAAAATTTTATCATAAGTGAAATATCAATCTGGGGTCAAAATTTTGATTCGTTATATTTCAATTGGACAATTTTATGTTCTCCCTATCTCATGAAAGTCTACTCAATTTTAAATTATTTCCTTATTCCATATTAAAAAACATCAACATTTTCATTTCATGACTAAATCTGTAATTTGCTCTTATTCTTACTGTTCGAACCCTCTAATTAAACTACCCTTTTTTTCATTAAAATTTTAGCTAAAACCTTTTTGGTATTCGCCTAGTCGCCTTTATATAAACAAGATGGTAGAATTGGGATTATCATTGTTTGTTTTTTATTTAGAAAGACTAAGCCTTGAAGATGGTCATTGAGAGTATTAAACTCGTTGCCTTTGCCACCATTTCTCCCCATCAACAGGGCGTTGTTGTTATAGTAGATTTTGACATTATACCCCATTTTTCGCCTGTTTACAGGCTTGGTTTTATATCATAATTGTAACAGTTGCAGTACGTCGGATCGATATCCTTGGTCGTTCTCGCTTGCTTAAAAATCTTTGGTCGTTGTATTCACCATAATAAAGTGAACGTGATTCTCTAAAAATCTCTCATTTTAGCTGGGCCCCAACCCCTAACTTTTTCATTATTGGTCATAAAGATCCCGATAATGCTAGTCTAAATGGGTGGGAAAATCTTAATTTGTAATTTTTCTTTATGTAAATATTTTACCCCAAATATAAATATCGACCTTCTTCTGTAAGAGGTAAATGAAATAATAAATATTTCGGTCTATAAAATAATAATCTTTTTATCCTAGTCATGGTCAGCACAAAAAAAAAAGAAGTTATAACTCGACTATTGAGTGAAAAAATAATTTTGCACATTGTGATAAAAACAACTGATTTTCTTAAAAAAATTTGAATTAATATTTTTTATTTTAAAATGAATAAAAATATTTTCTAAAATTTAACGAACGTAAAAAACGAACGCGTTCGTCATAAAAAAAGAAACGCGTTTACTCATCAAGCATGGATATGACGATCCATTCGTTTATAGCCACTATGCCATTTGGTAAGTTATAGTTATAACATAAGCCTCGAATATCTCAATTGTCTAATATAGGAAAGATTTCTAAGGTTCAGGTCATTCGAATGTGCTTCCACACCTTCATCTATATTTCCAATAAGCTTAAATGATTGCTTAGAAGATTTTTGTGTCAATTTATGAAATTCAATTTATTAAATATATAAAAAAACAATTAATTCAAAGTATTAACACAATAAATCTACACAAATTTTATTCTGTAGACGGTAAAGGATTTCCATATTCTCCCATGGTAAAAATATTATAGAAATAAAATATAAGTTGCAAATAGAATCACAACTTTAAACTAAGAATGAATATCTGTAGATGGTCGGGTACTTAATACAGATTCTTTTGTATTGGGCTAGACTTAGGTATTTACGAGTCTCGTGTTAGACCTAGACATGTGTCTATTTTCGACCAAATATTGAGGTTTTTATTTTATGGATGGACTGTTTTTGTTTGTAAAATCTTTCTATGCAGACCAATGAATTTACTCTTATATCTCGATTCACGATATTTATTATTTATTTTTGAATTTGTTTTACTAATTTATTGGCACAGTTCACAATAATAATTGTGAAGATCATAATATATTTGTATGAATCTTTATTTTTTTTTCTTCAGGTTTTTATTATTAATAACTGACACATGCAGAGGTACCATTTGCATGGCCCGGCCTGGATTTATTTTAAAATAATTTTTCGGCCCGGCTCGGTTTTATATTATTTTATTTATTTTTATAGATAGCAATGGAGATTTAAAAATTTTATTTAAAATATACGGCTCGGCCCGTATAAGCCAGGCCGGGTATGCAGGTCTCTGATTAATATTTTCTAAAAAATGAATGCTATTAAAACATATATTTATAACGTATAAGAAAAAATTTTGAAAATCCCAATTTTGTAAATTAAATTTAACTTAAATAAAAAGGGCATATTTCGTTATATTTTATATTTTAAAAAAAGAAGGTATAAATAAATATATTATAAATTAAGTTGTCAAATTTTATTGTCAAAGTGAATCGCGTATAAATGACATAAAAAAAATTTAATAGTTGTTTTTTGACTAAATTTTTTGGATAATATATACTTAAAGGTGATTTTAAAGGTCAGTACAATGTATGATTATGTTGAAAAGATTTATGAGATTTTTGACTTCTACAATTTTGGTTATAAGACAGTATTGTCATTTTTCATGGATTTATAAGTGAATTATAAATAAAAAAAATCATTAAAATATTCTTAATAATACATAAATTACGTGTATAACAAACATTGCATAAATTATTATTAATAATATTTGATTTAGTCATTTAACAATTAATTACATTTTGCTATAGAGTGAAATATAAAATTTCTGATCAAAATGCAAAAATTTTTATTTTAGTTCTGGTTTAATCTTACATAGGCGGAAATATTAAAAGAGTAAAGATGATATTTCACCTTCTTAGGCTATGTCCAAAATATCAAAAAATTAGATCGTAATGAAACTTTATCGGAAAATAAGAAATTATCTTCTTTTTTTTTTTAAATATAAAAATCAAAAATGACCAAAATATAATTCTAGAAAATTTTAAAAATTTAACATACGATTACATTAAAATTTTTTCAAACTTCTGAAAGTTTAAAAACTTTTCGAATTCTCCAAAAAAGATTTTGGACGCCGCAATATATGAAATATTTTTTCTAGTTAAATAAAAATCTTATGGATGGATTTTATTTTTCAAAATCTAATTATTAAGAAGAATTAGGCATAATACCATAAAATTGAAATAATGAAGATTTAAATTTTTTTTTTATATAGTAAAACTTGTCGAATTTGAGCTCTTTATAATTCGGCCAACTCTTGATAAAGATTTAGTCCCACAATCCCTATTAACTACCAGTAGTATTGGTAATTTACGGTCTAAGTTAAAAATCTTGGTCCTAATTAGTAGTGTTGTTAAAAGGCTTATTTTGAGCCGATTTTCTAAAACGGCTAACTCAATGTTTTAGCCAGAAAAATTACGCTTAAGCCTCGAGATTTCGTTAATATATGTTTAGACCTTTGTTCCTTCTATGAGCAAAATCTTCAGGCTTGCGTAATATTTTTCTGGATGGAATATTGAGTTAGCCGTTTTTTAAAATCGGCTCAAAACGAGCCGTTTAACGACACTACTAATTAGTGTTGATAATCGGCTCGATTTGTGCCAATTTTTTAAAAACGGCAAACTTGATATTTAATCCAGAAAATTATAAGCGAACCTGAAGATCTTTCTCGTGGATGATACAAAGGTTTGAATACCTATTAGCAACTTGAGGCTTAGGCAATAATTTTCTGACTAAATAATTGAATTCGCCATTTTAAAAAATCGAGCCATTTAACAACACTATTCCTAACGCTGTGCCCAAATTATACAGATTTTATTGTATACTTGAAGGAAGATACGGAGTTTGAAGTGGAGCCAGTTCAAATCTAAGTAAGGTTGTGCTATACTTTTGGAGTCCCGGACCGAAAATTATTTGGCGGTCCCATTAAAAAATGTCCCAATAAAAAGTAGGTAATATTTATGCAATATAGTATAGTAAATATTAGTATTGTTGAAGTAATTAGTTACCGGTAGTAAATTTTTTGCGAAAAATAAAATTTTTCAAATCCTTTCAACTTTTGGAAGATGACATCTTATTCATAATTTTAAATATATATATCAGAGACGTACAGACTTGACATAAAATAAAAAAAAAATTTAACTACCGGACCCGGGCCGAATATTACGAATCGCCATTATACTTTATTAAAAAAATATATTATACCGAAAATAATTCGAACCGGGAGAGTCTAAATATTTTTTAAATTCGGGCCAGGCCGTGTAAATGGTACCTCTTAAGATGTCTCTGATATATATATATTTAAATTAGATATTTTATTTAGGAAAAGGCAAAACAAGGATGGGTAGCTTGAGATTTATATTGAATAAGTTTCGGAAATAGTTAAATTTGATTTAATTTATATGCATTTTACCCTTTATTTTTCTAAAGAAAATTGGTTTTCGAACTATTTCATGATAAGGATGATAAAATAAATTGATTATATATATAACAAATTTTTTGATCACCTCACATCAGCGCAATATTTAAATAGTTCCCTCTTAAAAAACACTATTCATAAAATTTAATATCCCTATCTCATCCAGTATTCCAGTTGAGGGAGGATTTAGTCTAACTAAGAATGTTTTTGGTGGAAAAAAAGTTGTTATATTTGCTAGATGAAAACGTTGAGACATCTTCTCTTAAAAGCAAATAAAATATATTAATTATAAAAAATATATATAATTGGGGCTGTAATATTTTATTTATTTGCCCACCTTTATTTAAAGGGAAAAAAAATGTAGACATGTTTTTTAAAATACCTATAAAAATGCTACCCTACATTTAAGATATAATAGCTATCGCGCGCTATTTTATTTAAAGTAGCGTTAACAGTATTTATAGCATAACTTCGATAGTATTTATATTTTTTTAAATTACAACTCACTTTAAAAGGAATAAGAAAAGCAAAATTCGGTTGCCCATAAAATAGCCTAATTTTGACGGCCCAGGACCGCTGCTCCACCCGCTACCTCGTTTGCGTGGGCAAAATATTCCGACACTGGAACTTTTCTAAAAGTTTTCAAGAAACCAACAATGGTCCTAATATGTATTGAATTAATTTTGAATATATTGTTCAAAAAAATTAGTTATGCATCTTATAGGATTTATTTAGTATATAAATATTTCGACAGGCTTTTAAATTGCTTATTGAATGAGTTTTCAACGAGAATCTTTTTTATAATTTTTAAAAACCGGAGCAAACCTTTTGAAAATATTCAGAAGAGGAAACCACTTCTTGTCAAATTTTAAAGAAAAACTTGTACCCTTTAAGTTAGAATATTCTACCCCTTTCCAAATATTCTTTACAATTTTTGACTATTTCTGTTTATATTATTCGACTCTATTCTTTTGGTACGGCCAAACGACCTTTACTCTATTTGCAACCTATTTTGTGTTGAATGAAACCACGTTTAGATTTTTTATAAGATCGCCTTATGGTGTTTTCTACTAACACCTCTGATATCCATTTTAATACCCTCGCCTCCATCTCCCCATTTATATTCTATCGGAGATTAATATAGCCAACTCTGATACATATAAAACCATGTTTCTATAACACCTTACCTATCATGGTTCATTAAATTAATTTAATGTATCGGTAATTACCACAAAGACACTCCTGCACAATATCGTTATTTTTATTTCCATTCATTTATCCTGTTTCATCTTTTCGGGGGGGGGGGCATCGAGCACAAACACTTATATGTGATGGTAATCTAATATATTTCATCTTATGCTTTTGCTACTTCTCTTAGCCCTTTTAGTAGCTTCAACATAAGACGCCTACCGCCTTTGGTTAATTTAAAGATTTTGAAATAATTTTTTTTTTAGTATTGATAATTATTAAAATAACAAATAACAGTTAAAAAAACCAATAACATAATTTATTTAATATATTTTTAAAATATGAAAGCTACAAATTTATTTGATTTTAATATATAAGTAAAATTGAAAGATAAAAATGAACAATATAAAAAAATTTATTTATTTCTACTCCTATTTAAAAATATATATAATTTTTTATGATTGCTTTATATAAATTGCATAAAAAAATATTATTGTTAAGTATTTGATCATAATAGAACCAATTTGATATATGAGTATAAAAATTTTTTAGTATTAATTAGACACGGCTATTATTCAAATTTAAATTCTTGAACGATTTTGGCATTTTCATTTTCGATCCCTTGCAGTTCGTCTGTCATAGATTCCGGTGTTATTTCTTCGGGTATGCACAAAATCAATTTTTGCACCAAAATGTTCAATTTATCTAGTTCGAAAAATATATATATATTATGGTAATAAGTAGTATCTCATAACCATTTTACGTATGGTTTTTATACTATGAATTTCCGTCAAATAAAATGGTTTACAAATGTAAACTGTTTTGATAAAGGCAACATAACTAAAATTTACCGAAATATTCTCAAAAAAAAATTCTTTTTCCCCATAGTAAGTAACATATGTAAAATAATTATATAGAAAAATCAACAATACTATTCTCCCTATCTGTGTATGTAGGGTTAGTGTGGTTTACAAATTTAAGGGGTGGGGTAAAATGTTTAAAAAAAAACACTAGAGGAATAAAGTATTTGAACTTTACAAAAATGATAGGCTTTTCATTCATAAGAATAATAAACTATAATACCTATAGATTTGGTAAAACAAGCGGGCTTATTTTTCCAATAACAGCAAAGGAAATAAACTGGTAGACCGGCTAATATAATGAGAGCTCCGAAAGCTTAAAATTTAAATATAGGAATAATATTAAAATGGAAAATAAATTTTGTTAAATAACAAAAAAAAATATGATGGCGCGAAAATTGAGCGTTTGCTTTTTTCCGAACGTTTTTAATAATAAAAAAAACGTAACGTAATCCTTGTTTAAATAGAGGCGGGATTTTTAATCTTATAATTTAAAAAAAATGGAATATGTTAATTTGGAGGAATAACAAAACAAAAAATATTACCTTTAAATCATAAAATAAAAAGTATTGAAAATTAAAATGGTTTCCAGCGTCAAATGGTAATTTAACCAATTTGCATGATATACCGTTTGTGATGGATTATTTGCGTATAAAAAGCAGCGTTAAAAAAAAGTAGCATTTGAAACCCTCAATTTGTGCGTAATTTCAAAATCATACTTTCGTAAATATAAAGATTTTATGCCTGTGTTTTTGAAATCGTCGTAAATTGGCATGATTATGAGGAATATCGTGAGGATTATATACAGAATTGGCCATATTAGACTAACCTATTTGTTATTTTTATCATGATATAATTAATCATCTTTTAAAAAAATCGTAATATAAAATATATTTATTTTTGAAATTCTAAATCTAATCTAAAGTTCAAATATTTGTGTAATCCTATTTTTATTTAAAAATGGCGTATTTTATAATAAAATTTTTTAGGATAATAGACAACTGCTAATCAACCTTTTCTTAAGGATCATGAACCAGGCCCAACTTACCCTAAACTTTTGAGGGTCAGGCCGAGTGCGAAAATATCATTGGCCTTGTCAATCAATCTCGGGGTTATAAAGGTAAAGCTAGCCCTAAATTTCTCGCGTAAAACTTGCTGTTTAAATCAATTATTCATGTTTTTAATTAATAAATTCTTATGCGGGCCGAAGAGGCTAAAAATAAATATTTTTTCCTTCAAATCTCATATTTAATAATACAATTCTGATATAATGTAACAATATAGGTTAAACTAGTGTTGTTAAATGGCTCGATTTTGCCAATTTTAAATTAAGATTTTAGCCAAAATATTATAATTTAAGTCTCAAAATTTGGCTAATAGATTGTCAAAATTTTTCTGCTATCAATGAGCAACATATCCGGGCTTGCGTAATATAATTTGGCCAAAATTTTGACTTAGCAGTTTTTAAATCGGACTGTTTAACAATGCTATAGGCAACCGTTTAATTATATATTACATAATAATATATATGTAAGACCTGCAGAGGTTAAAATTTTAGACCTTGCCCAGATTTGGAAGGAAATTTTATTTATTTCTAACACTGCCCATGATTTTTTGGATTAGCCATCTTATTATTTTGAATTACATTTTGGCTCTATTTTGAAAATTTTTTTTTAAATTGAAAATATGAGCACTATAAAATTGAATATAAGATTTTCCAACATTTTCCCTACTAAAATTTTTTAAAAAAATTGAAAAATGAGCCTAGCCAGGCCCGACATTTTTTTAAAAAAATTTAAAACCTGGCCTAATTTTATATTTTGTATTTTAAGCCAGATCAGGTTTTCTAAACTCATATCTTTCTTAGGCCGGTTTATGCCGGTTTCTGATATAAATATAATATATATAGTTAGTATATAAAGGGATCTCACTTTGATAGGCCTAGGTGCATGAGGATATTTTTTCCTGAGATACAATAAAGCTACTACAGCCCCACCGATGGCTAACCAATTCGCGAACGAAACGTATGATATTAAATCCGCGACGCTTTCCCACAATAGATAAATAATCGAAAGGAGGGCCTGAAATTTATTATTGAAACGATTTAAACTCTATTATCATAATAAATACAAGTAGTGTCGTTATAAACGGCTCGATTTCAACCGATTTTTAAAAATGACTAACTCAATATTTTAGCCTAAAAAAATATAGAAGAGATTTTGCTAATAAATGTCCATATTGTGCTATATATGAGCAAAATTTTCAGGCTTGTGTAACGTTTTTCTGAATAAAATATTGAGTTAGCCGTTAACAACACTAAATTAAATACAAGGTAGGTGATCCAATTATTTTTTTTAAAAAGCGGGGTGAGGAGTGGATCAATAATTATTAATTAGAAGAACTTTTTTTAGTATGGCATGATGAGAATAGAACGATAATTTTTTTATAGGTCTGATATGGAATATAGGGTTAGTTTTTATAAAAAGAAATAAATCAATGACATATAATAGGTCATCTGCCTGATGATTCATTCATTAAAATGCATCTTGAAGTGTTGTTGAATGCAAATCAGCTGGTGACAGATCATTTTGGTTTCCTATATAATAATTTTTTTTAAAAATAAAACTTGAATATAAATTATAAATATGGTAGAAATAAAAATGCGTGTCACCACCTTTTATTGAAATTCGAAACACTTAAATAAATGAATCATTCTTCAGTTTAAGTAGTATACAATGTCGCTGAGATAATTATAAGAGATACCATTTTGATAGTGAAAATTATTTATTGGATATGGATTTCCTTTTTTATTACGATAAGCTCTCCCCTCGCCACACCTAAAAAGGCTAGTGACGCCCCTGGTGGTTTGTCACTTTTTGAGGAAAGGTATTATATATGTTAGCGTCAATGTGTTATTTTTTCAACTTTAAATCTTAAATTTAAAAATCTGATTTTACCGGAAATAGATTCCATCATGTTTGGAATATCTATCTTATGAATTATAGACAATTTTGCTGTTATATAAAAAATTGATGGAAAATCTAATATAAATTTAATTAAGTTCTAAAATTCATGGCAAAATTGCCTGAAATTTATAGGGTAGGTATTCCAAACAAGATAGAATGTATTTCCGATAAAATCAGATTTTTAAATTTAAAAAACGCGCTCAAAAAATGAATTTAAAGTTGAAAAAATAACACATTGCTGGAAAAAACACATTGACGCTAACATATATATACCTCATCTCCATTAAAAAAATAAAATGTTGTAGTGATCGATTTATTAAATTTAAGAATATTTCTTTCAATCTCTCTTTCTTATTAATATCATTATATTTGAGCGTTTTACGGTAAATAAAACGGCAGGGATCGGAGTCAATCGATTGACTTGAATCATGGTCAGGCATTTTGGCATCTGGTTTTCCCGCGCACCAACATAATACAATCTGATCAAATAAAGTTTTTATTTAGAAGTTTATATAAATTATTCGTTTTTTAAAAAAAACATAATTAAACCAACCGAGAAGAAGTGAATAATATACTATTCACAGTCCCGAAGCATGATAGGGCTATAAATATCGGAGCCACCCAATAAAATTTCCCGTACAATCTTTGCGCGAATAACTAATATATACAAAAAAAATTCAAATTATTATATGCTTATTTTTTTTTATTATCGATATTATCTTCGAGAAAACTGTGTACTTTTCAATTACAACTATTATTTATTATTATTGGATATCTTTAAATAAAAATAAAGAGGTATTTATCCCACACAAGGAAAGTTGCTTTGGAAATAAACATTTTTAGAAAGAAAAAAATACCACAGCGATGGCATTGGTTGAACTTAAGTCGCCCGGACTTATAACGGTGAAATAGGAGACGTTTATCAATACATATATTAAAGTGACTAAGGTTAACGATATCCAAACTGATCGAGGTAACGTTCTAAAAATAATAAAAATAATAAATGCGATTATTATATCGAGAGCGAGAATTGATTATCGGAATCGAAAAAAAAGGGCTACGCGGTACCTATATATTGAAAAATTACTCAGCAAATATCGCTATTTATATATTTATAGAGTTTATTACCTTGAATCCACAGATAGCGCGAATTCGCGGCGAGTTATACAAAATATGTTCTATCTTTATATACTTCGCTCCGAATTCGTTCTAACTGTAAATGCGGGGTAAACCTTATTGCCGTTTTTATCGGCTAATAAGTAGGCTTATGTCCAAAGATCGGAACTTAGAAGAGCCAAAACCGCAAAATCGGGTAAAATACTATAACCAAAAAGTTAGAAGAAAATTAGAATTCATCCAAAAATTTAAGAGCATAAAAATATGTAAATTATTTATTTATTTTTAAATTTTAAAAACAAATTATAAAATCTTTTCTTAAAAGTAAGCATTTTTATAGGTAGATTTTAATTTTATGTAAGGATAGTACTTGTAGGGATCCTTTAATTCTTCAACTACCATATTGAGATATGTCCTAATAAAATATTAAAATTTTTAGATTTCAATTTTAAAATTATTTCAGGAGATTTACAGTAGATCACATTATAATAATGAAAATTATAAAGATTATCCGAAATTATATTTTAATACTTTTTTTTATTGTTGATATGGAAGAATAAAATGCGAAAAAAAAATGGATTTTACAAAAATGTGAATATAGAACACTATAATATTCAGTTGACGATAATGAAATAGCAACTAACTATACGATGATAAAAGAAGCCTAACAATCAATATTTTACGCTAAATCCGATCGACAAAATCTTTATCGATTCGATCCGATATTCACAAAAACCGATCCCATAACCGATGTCGATCTGATATATAAATTAATGTTTATTTATCATCTATCTTTGAACGAAAATTTCATAAAAACTTTTAATATTAAGAAAAATAACCTTGAAATTTTTGGCATATGGCCAAGGCGATATTTGGTGCCTTTTCGTGAATAAATGATTAAGTTATATTTTTTTTATTCTCCCAAAATTTAATAATCTCATTTAAATTAATATCGATACAACCCTAAAATTTCGATTAAACACAATTTTTAAGCATTTTACTTTGACAACTTTCCCCTTATTTGTCCAAAAGAAAATTCAAATTGGTGGACAGGTGAAATATAAATTCAAATGTATCAATCTCGCTACCCCAAAGATAGGGTTATTAGTTAAATAGTCCCGATAGGATATAACGATTCTGATTTTTTTGATTCTTTTTAGAAAAGATATAATGTCCACTAATTTAAAATTATATAAATTTTAAGCCACTTAAGTCCTACTAGTGTTGTTAAACGGTTCGATTTCAACCGATTTTTTTCAAACCAGCTAACTCAATATTTTAGCCAAAAAATATTTGCCTTAAGCCTCGAGATTTCGCTAATAAATAGTCCAAATTTTTGTGCCGATCTATGAGCAAAAATCTCCAGGTTTGTATAATATTTTTCTGGTAAAAATATTAAGTTAGCCCTTTTCAAAAAAATCGGTTCTAGCCGTTTAACAATACTAAGTCGAAGTCCCATCAATGACCATTTTTATAAATATATTCATGGACATGTACATCTCCATTGATGATATCAACCACCACCTCCCTAACCTCCTCCATTTTTATTCAAATGACGAGTGTCTTCACAAGTCACTATCCTCTCTAATTTCAATGATCATCTTACGTTTAACCCCTACCAGCGGTAAAATGAACTAAAAAAAAATTTGACGCGAAAAAATCTTTTTTTTTTGAAAAAAAAATCCAATGTCATTACAGAAAAAAAAAATTATATGATGCAACATAATCTAAATTCTATCATTTTTGATAAAATATAAAATTGAGTTTATATATATAAATTTTTTTTTGCACATTAATAAACATTAGCGCCTTAAAACATATCTAAGAAAATTTAGCAAATCATTCTCATTGCAATTTCAATTAATTTGTAAAAATAAATGGTAATGGATATTTGTAAAAATGTAAGGAATTTTTCAAGCAAAATTAAATTTGAATATTGGAGCATAGATTTAAGTCATCCATGATATTTTATTGAATTATTAATTAAATCCCTAAATGGTGGATGATCAATCAAAAAGTAAAAATAGTCTATTTTTTTCTTCTTAAAGTTCTTTTTCTTTACCTCTTTTCCCCACTTTTTTTCTAGATTCCAGTTTGAACAAAATTTGGAAAAATGTAAGATGTAAAAAAAAAAGAGTTAAACATAATATATTCTCGTTCGCTACATCTACGATGAAACATATTCCAAAAAAAAAAAATTAAAAAGGGTAAAAAAATTTTAAAGGATTTATTCTCCAAATTCCCATTTTAAAAACAAAAATTACTATGCGGTCTTTATAAAAAAATTTTTAAAAAATATCTTTAAAATATTTTATCGTAAAACTTAAAAGAAAGGAGTTATTTTATCGTGCCAAGTATTTTTGAATCGATAAAATACACCATATTAAAGCAATCGGTTTTACGAGATACGAGTTAAAAGGCGTATCGCCCTCTACCGACAAAACTTGGTATTTTTCGTTTCCATCAAAGTGGATATAAAAGAATTTATCAGAAATTTTATATGAGAAGTCCTTTACAGGTTAGTGCACTGCAGGCATAACAATTCACTATTATTTAAACGTCTGTTAGACTGGAGACAAAAGAAATGTATCTAAGAAAACAGTCTAAACTTCCCCTTCCATCAACTTCATATTTCAATTAATTTATTTATGGGGGAGGAATTGGCTAATATTTAAATCTAAATTTTCCATGGTAAATAAGTAAAATTGAATAATTTTAAAAATCAGAGACCTGCAGTCCCGGCCCTAAACCCGGGTACACGAGCCGGATTTTAATTTTTTTTTAAATATACCCGGGCCGGGCCTGTCAAACTTTTTTTAAAAAAAATTCGGGCCTGGTAGTGCAAATTACCTGAAGGTCTCTGTTAAAAATAAGCCAATTGTAATAAACAGGCCTCCAAAAAACCAAAAAATGTGCGATTTATCACGAGATACAAAGAAAAAAAGGTTTATCAAAACGAGATATGAGATAATATTTTATGAAACAAAGTTTGAAAAAATAGTGTCAAAAAATTTTTGAGCAAAAATCTTTGAGGATTTTTCATAAAGAGAGATTAATCAAATTATATATAAAAAGAAATTTTATTTAAAACTCTGCTTTTAAATTTTAAAATTATAAAATAAAATAATGGAATAAAACGATAGAAATAAAAATGTGATATTTTTTTGTGAGGAACGTTTTAAGAACTGGAACCATCAGGTAACACTTAAAAAAAAATTAAGAGCTAATTGATATAATTTACCATCCATTGTAAGAGAACAGGGAGAAATAGAAAGACGAAGCTATCACAAACGGACTCGTTGTACCTCCCGCGAACGCATTTTTGAAGTTTTCGGTGTGTCCTAAATAAATTTAATTCAAATTATAGTAGTCTCAAATAAAATGAACTCTTTATTTTTTAATAAGTCGTCTTAAAATTTCAAAATATTGGATATTTTATAAGTTTAACAAGTTAATAAAAGTAAATTAAGGCTATGTTCAAAATCTTTTTCAAAAAAAATTCGAAAAATTTTAAATATTTCACAAATTTTAAAATTCCTAACTGAAATCATATGTTAAATTTATGAATTTATAAAATTTTCTTGAATAATGTTTTGGACTTCTTTATGTTTAAAATATTTTGATAAAAGTTTCCAAGGTTTGTAAATTTAATAATTTGGAAATATTTTGGACACAGCCTATAATAAGAAAATAAAAATAAGTTTAAAAAACCAACCAATCAAACATCGGGTAATGCAACATTTTTAAAATTATATTTTCTCTAAAACTACGAGCAAATTAAAAGATAGCCTTTTGCCAACTACCTATTACAGACTCTGTGCCCATTTTAGCTGGTTAAAAAAAAGGCTAACCTTGCATTCATAGTTAGCGCGAATTCGCCGCGAAGTATATAAAAACACACAATAAATATAGCGTATTTTGTATACTTCCATGCCGTATGAGGTAAATATCAAAATGATACATAAATAATTTCTAAAGAACGAAAATTTTTTATAAAGAGAACGAATATTTTACTATGAAGAGGACAAATATTCTTTTTCTAGTAATGAACCACTCTCAGGCATCGGAAGGTACTCAGGCTGATACATCATATTATAATTATCTATTGCCATAATATTTGAGTATAAAGTAATTTATTCAATATTTCCCTTTTTGACACGAAAGATAGTCAAAAACAAAATGTTTTAATGGCATAAGAAAAAATAATAACCCAAAATTTATCTTTTATTTCATTTATGTTAAAATTTAATAAACAAATCGTCATAGTTATATTATATTATTTTGTATATTTATATTTATTTTGTATTTATATTTATAGATTTTCTATAAAATAGGAAAAGTTTCTGACTTCATTTTATTTCAAAAATAATATTGGTCCTCCCAAATAAACATTGATTCCCCCAATGAGTGATTTCTGGTTAGGGACCTGGCCAGAGCTGAAAAGAAATTTTTTTTCAAATCTAAGCTAGGCCTAAAATTTTGACCTCTGTAGGTCTCAAGAATTTTGGCCCTTAAAAAATTATCATATGATCCGACCCCAATTTCTGTCTCTAAAAATTTTATGTTATCTTCCTCCCCTCCACTGGTTATTTGTTGCAGGGAAAGAAGAAATCTGTTATGCTGCTGTTAAAAATTGCATAAGATGTAAACTTATAAGGTTGGAATAATAAATTATATTATATATATATATAATATTATAAAATTATAGTTAAAAATAATTAAACAATACAAAATTATTTACATCAATAAATAAATTTCAAAATTTTTTATAATATTAATGAACCTTGGCCTAGAGCTACCATTCCAGATATTATAATAATTGCAAAAGATAAAAGTTTTGCATAGGTAAGGATTTCTTGTAATTTGGCAGATGCTTTGACACTCCAACAATTTATAAATGTAAGGAGCACTAAAGAATAAAATTTTATTAATTTAATATTGATTTATCTTACATATAAGAACAAGAGCTAATGCTTTTGTTTGTAATTTATCAGGCTCACAAGTATTATATAATGGTTTTAATAAATTTTCTGCAAAAACTAAAGCTACTATTGCTTGAGATGCAGGTCTAACTATTATAGCATCTACCCATAATCTCAAAAATGCTAATATAGGTCCAAATGCAATAAGAATATATGCATAATCAGCTCCTGATTTGGATATCATTGTTCCGAGTTCTGTAAAACAATGAGCACCTATCAACGAAAATAATCCAGATATAACCCATATTAATAAAGATATTCCAACACTATTTGTTTTTCTAGCGACTTCAGCAGGAGAAATAAATATACCAGATCCAATAATACCATTTACGATTATGCTAATACCGTTCATCAACCCCAAGTTTTTTTCTAATTTTACAATTTTACTCATATTTACTTATAAATTCAAATATTGTACAGGTGAGAAAATTACTTAATTACACACAAGGAATAACAGAAGAGAATTATTCAAAAGAATCATTGATATTTATAAAAATTAACTTTGATGATAGTCAATTATTGGGTATAAAATAAGTATTGTACTTTTTATAGAAACGTTATAAAAATGAAGTGAATTTAATAGGAAAAAATTGTAAATTATAATAAACGATAAACTTAATTTATATCATTGGGTATAAGATTAAAAATCATATATTTAACTTCAATTCTTAATTCAGGGGCAAAATCAAGATTCCTGAAGAAAGAAAAATTACTCCCCCCCCCCCCATTACAAATATGCCTGTCCAAGATATCATTTTAAGCTAAAAAAAATTTTCCACTCACCTTACCAGTATTGTTAAAAGATATTTTAAAAGTAGCAATTTATAGACCGTTACTTTATAAATTAATTAGCGCGCTATCGCTACCGCTATTTTTTCAAAGAAGTAGGCTCTATTAGCTACTTTTACGCGACTTTAGAATTTTTAAAATTTTTACGTATCTCTAGCACAAATAAAAATATGACTAAATTTCAAATATATTGTAATATAAATTGAATTTAAATTGAATATAATATTAACTTTTCGTTTGTAAATTATATAACCTGAAGGATTGAATTCATGATATATATATACGTGATATTTTGTATTAAATATACTTTTACTTCAGATATTTTAAAAAAGGAGGTTTTATATGTGATTCATCGAGGACATCCTGGGATAGTGGGGATGAAATCATTGTGTAGATATTACGTGTTTTGGACAAATCTCGATACTGATGTTGAAGACTTTGTTAAATGTTGTAAGAGTTGTCAAGAAGGAAGGCCGGGAGCTAAAGAAGTGCCATTATACAATTGGAACATTCCTACCCGACCTTGGGAACAATTACACATTGATTTGACAGGCCCCGTATCTGGAAAATATTGGTTAATTTGCGTAGACGCTTTTACCAAATGGGTTGAAGTTGCAATTTTAACACATATTAATTCGGCGAGTGTAATAATAATCTGCGTAATTATTTCGCTAGATTTGGGTTACCTCGCTACATTGTCTCAGATAACGGTACTCAGTTTACTGGATCTGAATTCAAAACGTTTCTTTTTAAAAACAATATAAAACATTATAGATCGGCCCCTTATAGCCCCAAATCGAATGGTTTGGCTGAACAATATATACGGACGATAAAGACGCGTTTCTATGCTGGAAGGAGATGTGGGACTCCGGACCAGTTAAATTTAGCAAATGTTTTAATTACTCACTGTAATACTCCCAATGCAACTACTGGTAAATTTCCTGCCGAGATGATGTTTGGAAGGTCGCTTAGGACGACATTAGATCAGTGGAAATTATCAACGAGAGAAAGGACGGAAAACGCTCTATGGAAACAAAAGTACTACAAAGATAGAAGTGTTGAACCTCGGGAGTTTGTAGAGCAGCAAAAAGTTTGGATAGCAAACGAAAGGACAGCAGGGTGGCATGAAGGAAAGTGTTACAACGAAAAAGCGCAATATTGTACGATGTGGAATCAGAGGGGATCGTTAAAAACAAGCATGCAGATCAATTGAGGGATGCACATACACAAGAGAAGGAAATACCCGTTACGTTGACCGAAAAAGTGGAAAAGGCAGAACATGAGAATACAACTCTTGAAAAAAGAGTTTCGAAACTCCCATTACGTTATCACGATGAATTCAATTTATAGTGGGGAGAACTGTAATATAAATTGAATTTAAATTGAATATAATATTAACTTTTCGTTTGTAAATTATATAACCTGAAGGATTGAATTCATGATATATATATACGTGATATTTTGTATTAAATATACTTTTACTTACTTTACCTATTTTACTTATTTAATAAAACACTTCATATATATATCATTTATTTATCTTTTATCTCATCTCAAAGATAATAAAATTTCCATACTGTCATCTCCATGTCTTGAGCGACGATCATATAAGTAGTATTCAGGCAAATAATATTGGCACATGTAAAATATTCTATTCACCTATAATTTCCTTTCCGGTATTTTACTCATTATTTCTTCTTAATTGCTATTTACCTAAGTGTTAATATACTAAATTATTTAAAGATATTACTAGAGTTTGAAAAGCTAATTATAAGGTAAGATTTTATATATTCAAAAAATAATTTGTTTAAGTGCCTAAAAATTAAAAAGAGGCTTCTAGGTTCCCGTTCTTAGAAATTTAATACGGTGTTACAAGGATATTAAGCAATAATCTTATACATGTTAATAACGGTTTTGGAATCGATTCATTCTCGTTCTGGTTTTCTATAAAGTATAAACAATGGTATTATAGATTCGGTTTCCGGTTAGTAGATTTATTCCGATTCCTCTATTTCTAACAATTCAGACATTTTGACTAGAAACTAAATTAATATCTATATTTTGTTTATCTGACAATTTATAATTTCATATGTAATTTATAGAAAATTATTATATATTAATCTTATCTGATCTTAGCATGTTGCTCTAGAATCTGCCCAATAATGAATAAACATAAATCATACAGAAACCCATCCTATGTATAATTATACTAGTATTTTTTAATACAAGGAGTCAAACAAAACTTAAATCAGTTATAATTATACAGGGTGGAAAAAAGCTAGCCATATAAAAACAAATATTCTCCGCGCCGTGTTATTCTTAATGGTAAAGAATACTAGCTGATACCATACATTTTGGCAAACAAACATAATATATAAAGAGATTTTTTATTAAAATTAATGACATAATTCTTTAATGTGTATGATCTTGAACAACATTGCATTATCATCAAAAAATATTTTCAAAATTAATATGTTCTGTAATACCGCAAAGCATTGTGCAGGTAACGGATTAAACACATAGATATTATAATTTAATCTATAATAATAAGTGGAGTCTGCAATGAGTGAGTTCTAACCCGTAAACCTGTAAATTCATTATTTCAAAAAGATAACCCAATAGTTTGCCCGCCATTGGTTTATTTTTAAAATTTACATGTCCGCCTGCCCATTTATTGCAAATATTATTGACCCGCCCTTACGAACAATGTTTTAAAATTATTATATGTTTGTTTGGTTCTTTATCAATTCTTTTTTAGTATATTTTTCAATTTAGAGTTTAAATTTTAAACTCATATAATACAATATTATGGAATAAAAATATAATTTTTAAAAAATAGAAGTCTATTCTGCTCATGCTAAAGAAATATTTCATATTAATCTACACATTGACACCCGATTTTTTAAAAATATTTGTATGCCCACTAACCCCCTTTAATGTCAAAACTATTCAGCCTGTCCTTAGCTAGCCTGCAGAATGGGCGAACGTGGGCGGCGAGCTAAATACTTGCAGGTCTCAAGTAACAAATGGGGAAAAGAAAAAGAAAATGAGAGATAAAGGATAGGTTAAATTAAAAAAAGAGGACTCCATTTTCTTTTCAAGTTTAAAATTCATTTTACGGAGTACGAAGCTACGAAAATCGATGAATCGAGAGAGGAATCTTACTTTGAAGGGAAAAGGATATAAGGCGAAAATGTTATGTGGCACTAAAGATCAACGCAAAAAAAAGACCATTATTGGAGAAAGGAGAGGGAATTCTAGGCCAAAGTGGAGTAAAATTATTTATTTTGGATTCAAAAAATAATTTTAAAAATATTTAAAATAGTTCAAGAAGTAATGGAAGCCATCTATAATATGTTCGGCCATGGTAAGCCAAACCTTAAAAAGAAGATGGAGATAGCGGAACAGGGGGAAAGTTGAATATTGGGGAACTGATGCTTTTTGGGTGTGTTTCAGAGGAAGATTGTCAGAAGCCTTATACAAGTAACTGATTAAATTACACAATTACATTATAAGAATATTATGTGTAAGTTTACAAAACAAGAAAAATAGAAAAACAAAAAAATAGATATAGGAGAAGGAAAATTAAGATTATAGATTTGACATTGTTGGAATTTTTTATTGGATAAACTTGACGTATCACAATTCTATAACCCAGAAACAATTTCATATGTAGTTTCAATTTTAAAACAGTTATGTAAAAATAATAAATTTATTTTTAGGTCAAAAGAAGATCAACCGAAGTTAATTGCATGGAGGAAACACACCCATAAATATAAGGTTAACAGCAAATTTTCTAAGAATTTATGTTGTGAAGTGTCTAAGGACCAGGGAAATGAGGGCACCACTGCTATTGGAGTACGATAACATAAAAATAAATTTTTTATTTTTATATAACTGTTTTAAACTTATAAAAAAAAGTCAAATCTCTTATCTTAATTTCCCTTTTCCTATATCGTTTTTTTTTGTTTTTCCACCATTTTTCTTGTCTTGCAAACTTATACATATTATTATAATGTAATTGTATGATTTAATCAGTTACTTGTAAAAGGCTTTTATACAATCATTCTCTGAAACCCACTAGTGTTGTTCAACGTAACTCAGTATTTCAGCCAGAAAAATATTGTCTAAGCCCCGAGAGTTCGCTAATTGATGTGACCTTTGTGCCATCTATGAGCAAAATCGTCAGTGGCGTAATATTATTCTAGATATAATATTGAGTTAGCCGTTTTTAAAAATCGTTTCAAATCGAGCCGTTTAACAACACTAAAACACACAGAGAAAGCATCAGATTCCCAGATATTTTTTCGGGACCTTTGATACAACTTTCCGCCTGTTACGCTATCTCCATCTTCTTTTTAAGGTTACCATAGCCGAACATACTAAAGTTTATGGAAAATTTGTCTGAAATTCATAGGGTATGTATTCCAAAGATGATAGAATTTCCTGTAAAGTCATATTTTTTTAATTTACGCTCAGAAAGATTTAAAGTTGTAAAAATAAAATATTGCCAGAAAAAACACACTGACGCATGTACATAAACATATACATAATATGAATGTTTTATGCGTTATAAAATGGTTGTATACAAGATAAAAAATA